CGGTCCATACAAAAGTACGAGTACGATTCGAATGAAATTTAGACAGAAATCGTTAGGCTAAGTCATCATCAAACCGTCCTCTTTTGAGCGAGCAAAGTTTCAAGTCTGTTTATACAATCAAGTGGCTTGTCGAAGTTAAAGTTGACGCTTATCTGTTTGAGATGCTTTCAATCAACTTCACTCAAACTCAACACACGAACAATTTCATGGATGGTTTAAGCAGGAAGAAACTGCCCCCAAATCTGTAACACTGGGAACTCAAAATGTTCGAACAATCACATTAAATTCATACGAGTGTGTCTGCTACGTAAGTTTTCGATACAGATAGCACGCTTTGCACACACGCTCAATTAACCTCTGCTTGACATAATGGCGCCGCGCACAAATTAGCACAACTTGTTTTGTTGTTGTCAGTAGCTGGTAGTCAGCAGCTGAAATCATTATATATGAGCACCGAAATTCCTTTTTTGCAACCACAATATAGTGCTCTCCCCCACGCAGGGTCGCAGTTGCTTTTGTGTGAATATGTGTGTTGTCTTTCCAAAAAAGGAACTATATTATGCTGACAGTGTCACCAAACCGTCGCTGACAAAGTTTACAAATACACTGTCATTTCCCCCTGTCTCTTACACTACACTATCTCTATTCTACTCACTTAAATCCATGCTTACACATACAAACAAACATTCACACTCACTTATGGTACATACATGCATTGCCGTTGACCTAAATTCGAAAGTTAAAGCGAGTACGCCACTGAAAGCATGACAAATATCTGAGTATGTTCAAAGATAAGCGAACTACTCAAAAGGATATACGGTCGCGCGCACAGACACATATACACACATAAGCAAGCAAGCTTACACGTATGCTTATTTATGCATTTACTTATTTATTTACAAGAGCTTTATATACATACATACATAAAAAAAGTATAAGTAAGCATACACATAGGCGCATGCACACTCACACGTACACCCAGTTGAGCGTCAGCGCTTCGAGACACACGCAAGCACACTTGTGCCATAATGAGGCCTCATGAAAACTTTAGTGTCCGATAACAATGGCCCCAACAATGTTCAGAACAATAAATAAATTAAGAATAACAACAAAGCCTATAAGTAATGAAACACCGACGTACACATATACACACATACAAGTAAAAATACATGTAAAACGCAAGCGCATTCAAGCAATGTCTGCGCTTTGCTGTAATTGTGGCTCCGCTGTTGGCGTACACATTCTAGGGGTCGCTCTAAATTGCTTATTGTTTTCTTGCAGACACTTGAAAATTGTGTGTTCTTTTTTTCGGTTTAGCTGTGCTGAAGATAAAAATATAAAAATAGAAAATTTTAACGATACGAAACCTAGAAATGCTAGGAAGAAGAATAATGGTAACATTAAGAGCGGAAATAAGTCATAATTAACGATTTTTCTTCGAGCAGAATCACAACAAAAAAATTCTGAAACGGAGTTTCCTTGCGACAACATCAAGCAGAAATGTTGGAGAATGAATGGCGATCAGCCGAGGCTGACGGTGATCAAGCACACATTAACGATCAGGAAGGTTTTGCAGTGTTGGTTGGATTGCGAGGGAATTATCTACTAAGAACTGCTTGCCTGTCTCCAATTTATTAACGAGGTTGTATACTCTAAAAAATTTTACCCACTGAAGGAAAAAGCAGGCAGTAGTGGCCGACTTTGGCCAATAAGAGAAGAATTGTGTTCCATCAAAATAATGTTATTCCACACATCGACAGTGACTCACCAGAAGCTAAAAGAGCTTGGTTATTCGATTCTTATACATCCACCTTACAGTCAGTCGGGAGCTGCTAACTGATGATTACTACCCGCTTTCGTCCATGGTGAAAGATTTTTTTATGAAAAATCGTCTCATGTGAAACTTGTGAAAATCGACTGCAGCAGGTTTTTTTCCAATAGCAACAAGGGTTCCCAAAAGCGCCATATTTCACCTAAGTGGCATAAATCTAATTACGATAAATAAAAATTTCAAAGCAATACCAAAATAATGGATTCCTGTTTAAAATAATTTTCAAATAATGAAATGCATTTTTTTCAAAAATTAATCGAAGTTAAAAATACTTAGCATTAAAAAAAACTATCGACTGGAATTTTTCAGCAAACGAATTGAAATACTTGGAATTTAAACATTATAATATTATCTATTTAATTATGGAATATTTCTAGGATAGTTCGATTCAAAATGCGTCAAGAAACTTATCGCTCCTCCAGGCAACATATTTTGTTTTTGGAGTTTTGGGGATTTTATACAAGTCACTGCAGGCTACGGTGTCATCTGCGTCTGCACAGATACTGCTCCACGAACCTGTGTCGCTTCTGTGCCCGAAGTGTAGAAGCATTAGAGTACATACCCTTGATTGTCTCACAATGGTACGAAAACAGAGTCAAGTTTCGGTTAAATAAATTCGGTGAGTGAACACATCGCAATTACATAATGGATTAAACAAGGGGTTGTGTCATCGGGAGTGAGCAAAATAGACCACCGCTAGTATTACATTCCTCAAATCTCAATTCATCGTTAGCAGTATTATCAAAATATACTATACTATGTATGAGCGAAAATTCGCACACATTGTGTTTTTAAAGGGTGACCCATATCGAGGTTTCTTACTTTTTTCAAAAAAAAAAAAACAACAACTTCTTATTTATTGGAAAATGTTCATTATCATTCGAAAAAACATTCTTTGGCAACAACATGGTTACTGACTACGATTCAGTCTCAGATGATTCATCCGTTTAGTCCAATTTTTGTTGACCCGTTCGAGCATTTCAACTGGTAACTGGCGAATGACATGCGTTATGTTTTACCCCATTTATCCCCACAGTAAAAAGTTTAAGGACGGGATATCACACGACCTTACCTGCTCGTCGAAGTGTTCTCCTAATAAATCCATTGATTCATCAATGTCTGGGAAGTGGCATCGTCTTGTTGAAACCAAATTTCTGAAAAAAATGTGCCTCGAAAACGAAGGATCTTCTTGGAACTTTTCAAGAGGCCATAGAGTGCAGCGATGTCGCTTGGAAGGTCGAGCGGCTTCAATTTGAACGCACAGGTAGACGTGGTCAATTTGGTTGAATATTATCCAATAATGAATGCTAGGTCTCAAGATGGGTAATGGGGTTTTGAATAGTAATATATAGATTGACGATTGACACATTCTTTACAGAACTTAAATTTTCGTAATAAAGGTGAAAGATTTGTAAACGTTATTGAGGCATGTTGACATATGCAAAAGCCTATTGAAAAAAATTCCTCTACTCGGATCACCCATTATTTATAGTTCTACAACCCAACCAATGAACATTAGAGCACATAAGCATGACAAATGCAACTCAATTTATTTATACTTAATACAACTCGACTGGGACTTCCAATGCTATTAGTTGTTTAGAGAATAGAAATTAATAAATTCTTCTCTCAAGCCATTGTAAACCGTATATAGAGAAATAGATTCGCATTTCTGCAATTCATTCAGTACCTGGGAGCAATAATTTTGAGAATATGTCGAAAACAAAACAAATTTTTCAATAAATACGAATTTATTATTACTCCATGCATCCAAAGACAACTTAAACTGTAGATATTATATATAATATAAAGATAAGTATATGTATATAGAGATTAGCACACATTTTAACCCACCAGAAAACCCACACTGAAAGCATAAAAATAGTATTCAGAGGACTAGCCAAGTATATATATGAATAGATATATATATATACATATATGCACATATATACTTATATAATAAACCAACCCATCCACACTCTTTGGCGAACCAACTGCCTCCGCAAATTTGTGTACAACAAAGGGCCACCGCTTACATAATCGCTTTACCATCAGCTTAGCTGTGATTTGAACTGATTTCGCCGCGTTTCAGCGCTGTTTATTTTTTATTAAATTAATTGATTTTCTTGTTGTGAGATATTCACCTGCCAACTCCACGAACAGCAGCAATCACCGCTCACTGCTGCTAAAACAACACAAAACACAAGCACTTAATTTGCCTTAACCCGGCGCTGCAGGGCGTATACGCAACATTGCAATGGTGTTCGCAATTACATTCTTGCTTTTGTTGATTTTGCATTTTTTAGCTTCTACCTGCTGTTGTCTGTACTTCTTCAGCCATTATTCAACTATTTAGGTTGAGTTTGCGACTTTTATTTAACCACAAAGCCAGATAGCTGAATCTTAGTTCATTTAGTCAAGAGGGGATTGACACCAAAACCCTGCCGGGAAAGTTCATGCAACGTTGCACGCACCTACGGAATTGTCGAGTAAGCGGTAATGACGGTGAATGTCAGCCGCAACAGTGGTAATATGTTAAACGGTTGACTGCTTGACGTTGCTCGACTATCTGTCATGCTTGTTGCCTATACCCGTGTTTTTGCTGACAGCCGCGTTTGCTGGCGAGCATTCGTCTTGGAATAACGTTGTTGGTGTGTGGGTGTTTGGTTTCGTCGCAGTCTATTTAATTAATTGTCAGTGGTTAGCGATTAGTATTGTTGCAGAATTTTGTTTTTGTTGTTGTTTATACATATTGCTGCTGGTGGCATGTGTAAGTCTTTCTGAGGAAACTACACACACACATTTATATGCATGTGTGCGCACACATCTAAACTTGCATACAAATTTCCAACAAATAATGCCGGCTATGACTACATATACTGATATGTGCGTTTCTGTGCGTTTTGCGTGGTTAACTTTACATACATTACTTATTGATTTTCTAATTGGCCTTGCATATTGAGTTCATTTGGTTTCGAGGCCGTTTTGCGTTGAAGTCGCAATGTCATTGCTATTTATGGGCTCTAAGTCTATCCAATTCACTGAGTTCTGAGGATAGCAAACCTTTTACTCATGCCTAATATTTATTTACCTGCTATATTTTTATAAATCTTTTATATAATTTGTATTAGTTTAAATTCCTTTTTATCGCATTATTCTTCTATTACAGGAAATATGAAGATCAATGCAAAAATGGCCACCCCTATAGAGGAGAAGGTTGACCAAAACTTAAAGGTAAGCTTTGGATCAAGTTTCAAATTTATAAAAATGGTAAAATATTAAAAGACAAGTCAGGAAGACCTAAGTTCGGTTATAACCTATTAAATCTTGCAAGAATCAAAGCCAAGAAAATATTTTAAGGTGTAAAACATCAATCTGAGAATCGAAATCCAAGCTATTTTGTACTTACATATATTATGGAAGTTGGGGTAGTATCGACTAGACTTTATTTATTTTTCCCACTGCCACATACTATTTATATGTCACTTACTAAAAAGCTAATCATGTAGAGTAAAGTCAGCCGGATGTTCGAAAATCCTGATATTAGTTGTTGGTCAAGTTTTCGCTCAAATTTATGTATTTTATTCACAAAGATACACAGCTATGAGTAAAACACGCTCGCTTATTTTTATTGGGATAATTCGAATATTGGCCGATATATCCAGTGCAAAGTCACCCGGAAGGTCATAAGGTCCATACAAAGTTTAATCCCGTTATATCAATTACTTCTTTATTTATGTACTGGAAACTGAACGAATCAAGTGAAATTTAAAATTGTGCTATATGGTAAGTAGGCTTGGTTGTTGTCCGATTTCGTCCATTTTCGTATATAAATATATGAAAAATTTTGTCAAAATCGGTCGTGTGGATTCCGAGATATGGTATTTCACCAAAAAGTGAGTGGTGCCACGGCCATCGTTCAATTTCCAGAACAACTCCCATAAAGGCACCTAAAATAATATAATTGATGAGCCTATCACCAGTTAACTTGTCAGTTTCGGGTATGACCCTCGGTTCACCAAAGTAGAATACTTACTTCGAACTTTGACTGCCGAGATGTTTCAACTTCAATCTTGTAAAAAGAGGAGAATAAAGTGGCTGGATGTTTTCCTCTCAACTTCTTCCATACAACGTCCGAAAGGATTTCTACCCTTACGGGTATCAATGTCTGTTGGACAATGCGCGTTAAGAACTTTACAATTGTGGCAAGATGAATCTTACTAAGAGGAAGTAGTCCAGTAGGTCTCCTGCTTTCTGCTCTAGACCAAAATGATCTCAAGAAAATAAGTACTGATAATTTTTCTGCATCCAATAATGTCGATCATTCATATAACTTTCTCCTAAAAAAAAAAGAAACAGTGCAAAAAAGGAAATAAACTAAATATAGAATAATCAAAATCGGTTACTTCGTTGAAAAGAAGTTTATGGTTACGTTCGCCGTAATAGCATTATCTTTATTTAAAGTATTCAAAAACAGCCTTCTCCCTTTCTGAAAAACTTATGACTGCTGTAAAAACTATAAACTTACTTAAATCAACAGGAAGGCAAAACACATTGAAAAGAACAAAATAGTATAAAGATAACTTGAGCCGTATGCAAAAATATGTCCCTCCCCACGTAACAATAGTAATATATACACATTTTACCTAAAACTACAATTAATGTGTGAATTAATAATAACATATTTGTTTATAGATCCGCACTGGTATGGTAAATGTCAGCGATGGCAAAAGTAAACCAGAACCACTTAGACTGAATTTAACTATGGAACTGGTTACGTTGCAAAGGTTAGAGGTCGTTACACCAACAAATCCTCACAATGGACCACCAATGGAATCAAAGGTAAATACATAACAGTTAGGAAACAATATTTATTAAACCGCATATTATAAAAAAAGTATATAAAAATATTCCTAATTCTTGGTTTTTATTTTTTTCTTATAAAGCAGGCCATCATATACATACATATATACAAATGTTGTCTTCAAATAACATTATTCTAAAAACAAAGCAAAAATATGATCACCAAGATATTGATAATTTTAAATATTTTTGTACGAAAATATGCATGTTTCTGGTTAAGTTGCATTTTACTGTAGCTCTCAATTATCCAACAAAGGTAATTTGCAAACTCATGCGACGAATCGACTGCCCATGGTTTTCRTGTACACTCTCAGCTACAGCTGTTGCGAGCGAAAAACATTCTTTACAGAATCTAAATTTTCGTTATAAATTCGAACGATTTGTAAATGCTATTCAGGTCGTTACATATAGCTCTTTAATTGATACAAGCAACCTTTAGAGATTGTAAAAATTTTAATGATTTTTCATTTATAGTACCATAAATAATTATACCCTGAAAAGGGTATATTAAGTTTATAACACCCAGAAGGAAGCGTCGGAGACCCTATAAAGTATATATATAAATGATCAGTATGGCGAGCTGAGTCGTCTTAGCCATGTCCGTCCGTTCGTCCGTCCGTCTGCCTGTATATATAATACGAACTAGTCCCTCAGTTTTTAAGATATCGTTTTGAAATATTGCAAACGTGATTTTATCTTCAAGAAGCTGCTCATTTGTCGGAACTGCCGATATTGGACCATTATAACATATAGCTGACATACAAACTGAACGACAGGAATCAAGTTCTTGTATAGAAAACTTCAACATTTGCCAATGTACTATCTTCACAAAACTTGGCACMGATTATTTGCTAAGAAAATAATATAATTTCCGAAAAAATTGTTCAGATCGGATTACTATAGCATATAGCTTCTATATAAACTGAACACATAGTTACTAAAAGAAATGCACCTAACGTTTTTTCTTGTTTTATATTAATATCAAAATTTTCTATACTTTCAAATATTCATGCAATCCCATATCGATATTTTAAATTACTCAAGTCTAAGGAGAAAAATTAATATTAAGTATTTCTAAAACTCAAATAAAATTACTAAACTTTGCATTTTCTGCTAAAAACAATTCCCAAAATGCATTCATAATAGCAAAATAAAACCAGTCTCTCCCATTTATTTGCATAAGCTTCAAATGATTTAGTTGGAACTTTACTTTAAATGAGTTGAATGTTGTAACTCGGCAAATAGTTTATGAACGCCCAGAGGGAACACGCATGCAGCTGTGCACAGTGCGATATTTATCAGACGAACATGCACAAATGGATATACATATATATATATATATATTAATGTACTATATACTATATAATGCACATGTATGTATATGTGTGGCATAATCATAAGTATACAACATGCCTCCAAGCTGCAACTAGCAGTTGTATGCAACAAATGCATAGCAATGACACAAAGACAGGACCGTTATTATATATAATTAAATATTCGATTGCATGTAGAACATGACAATGTCCTTGAGGGAAAACGAAAACGAGTTTCACTCGTTCACACACAAACATACGAACGTGCAACATTTATAATTGGATGAAATTGCAGCGGGCGAATATGCAAATGTGCATTTGTGTTGCCAGATTGTGAAAATATTACAAATTAAATGAATTATTTGAAGGAAGCAGTTTTTAAATGAATAACTCCAAGTGAATATATTATTTTGAGGAGCAATATTGATTTATGAAAACTAAAAATTATATATAGAAAATATCCAAAGTTAATGCCACAGAGCTTAAATAAACCGTTATTTTTAYCTTAATTATGGATATACCCAAATATACACACCATTTTTACTCCCCTCGTTAAAAGCTAACAAATCATTATTTCCAAGCATCTTGTCCTCCCCTACTATTTATTTAGCATTAAGTATTTATGTAAAGCACAGCTTACGTTTACAACAACAACACAGCATTAATATTTCGCTTCTTSTTATTTGTGTAATTTTTAGGAGCGCATGGTGCAGATTACGCGTCAAAAGCAGGGCGGCCTTGGTCTAAGCATAAAAGGTGGTGCCGAGCATAAATTGCCCATTTTAATATCGCGCATCTACAARGATCAAGCGGCGGATATTACAGGCCAACTATTTGTTGGCGATGCGATAATTAAGGTGAATGGCGAATACATCACAGCCTGCCCGCACGATGATGCGGTGAATATATTGCGTAATGCCGGCGATATTGTTGTGCTGACGGTGAAGCATTACCGTGCGGCGACGCCATTCCTGCAAAAGCAACGTGAGTTGGCATAATAAAGATTTGCAAAAAAAACCAAAAATATTACACTCTACTATATACACGTACCGCATATTAATTTCACACAATACGGTACTTTGCTTAAGGAATTTCGTGCCCCAAAAATTGAATACACTTTTTTGAATAGAAAGCAGATTATTACACGACGAGCAATCTATTTCATAGAACGTAAAAATGGGCTAATTATCTCCACTATTCTATTCTAATCAGGATGTATTAAGTTTGACACGAAGCTTCCTACACAACAGAACCCTAAAAAATATATATACAAGTGATCAGCACGACGAGCAGAGTCGATATAGTCATGTCCGTCTGTCCTTCCGTCTAAACATTCGTCTATCTGTATATACGCGATCTAGTTCCACAGCTTTTGAGATATTGATCTGAAATTTTGGTGATGTTCTTTATTCCCACGGAAGCTGCTCATTTGTCGCTGATKTTGGAACACTATAATACATAGTTGCCATACAAACTGAAAGATTGATATCAAGTGTTTGTATACATAAAAAACTTTTGTATATGACGAGATATCTTTATTTAATTTCACATGAATTGTTGACCAAGGCATTAGTGCAATATGCAAAGAAATTGTTCTGAACAGATCACTTTAATATATAAGTAGTTGCTTGCTGACCGGTCAAAATCAAGAGATAAATGTAGAAATTGGAATATTCAAATTCGTTAGTTTCTTCATCAGTCGCAATTCAGCACAACAGAGTCATAAAGGAAGGCGGTCCGATAAATACTCAGCTTCAAAGTACGAAGACGCCACTATCGCCATTGTAATATATTGTCATAATTTCATTTTCGAATATGACAATTGACAAAAATTTTTTAAACCCGACTAATAGTTTTGCTTTGAACTTGATGGAAGCTGACGTGTAGGGGACTTTTAGAAGATGAAATCAAAGAGAACTTGAATACTGAATTCAAAATTTTGTCTGCTTCGTTAGCGACGACTAAAAATAGGTTTAATGGCTTGGAAAGTGATCGCTTATCCGTTTTTATGAGTAGACTCGAAAATGGCTATCACGAAAGATAACGTAACAAAATTCCACGGTCGTCCTGAATGCAATGTTGGGCGTAATAAGGTGAAAGGTACCGCGTTTGTTCACTCCGGACAGAAAACCACAACACTACCTCGCAACAGTGTTTTTAAGCTGTTTGAAAGAAAGCAGCGGCAGCGAAGCAACGATCCGCAGGTATACGAAAAGAAAAGTCGAAGCAGTGGACTACATCGGTCGAATCAGCTCTGAAGATCACTGTGCAATCGACCGGAGTTCTTACTGATATTATCCACCCTTTTAAAATGAGAAAAAATAGTCGGGTGCGTATGTTGGCTGTAACAAAATATTGGTCCGTGTCGATGTCTATAACATTGGAGGCGTGTCTCTCGTCTATCACAACRTGATTGATCTGGYTGGTGGCTTTTCGATCCGGAGACAGGYAGCTTGATGAATTTTCTTRTGATGGARTCTAGYACTACAGATAACCAYATTTTGGGSCCCGGCGAAGTCGATCAGCCTCAACCCATTTGGSGATGTTTCATCATGGAKGCTGAATTTACCGACCGTTRTACCAAAGATACCTTCTTTGTCCCCCCTGCGTTGAAGTCGCCAAGCACGATTTCGATATCGTGGCGAGCATCTCTCATACGATTGTGGCTAAATGTTCATCAGCCGAAGTGAATGCCAATACTCGACAACGTAGTCTCTCTCCCACCACCGACCCACACCAACTTTGCGTTTCTTTATATGACCATTGTAGTAAATGCCACAAAGACCTACTCGTCTCAGTCCTAGTACCGTCCATCGCACTTMTTGAACGGCGGTAATGTAAGCCTTTACTTTTACGAGGACACCAACCAGCTGGAAAGCGGCATCAGCCCAACTAAGGGAGCGGACATTCCAATTGCCTTCCCTAAAATCGTAATCGTTACTGCTTTGATCGTCATCAAAAGGGGGTTTCTTTTCCGAGGCTGTTTTTTACTTTTCATGGGGGGTGTTTTTTACGTAGTGCGTCCCAAACCCAGCACACAACCCTTAGAAGGTTCGCCTTTTCACTTTAGCTCGCTTTCAAACKAATGTTCTCTGRTTACTCAGAGGATACTGGGTCTAAAACCGGAAGTCGTGAGATGCTCGAGACATATGTAAAAGAATTGTTTCGGTCCACTCTCAAGTTAATGACAACCAGAGAACTGTCCTCACTTGTGGGAACTTCTACACATAACTTCATCCGACCCAAATACAAAAACAAAATATTTTAGAATTAAGAAATGAAAAATAAAAACAAAGAACATTAATACCGTCTCAAATAACTTAAGAAAAAGAATGCAATATCCATTATTCACGCACTCACATTGGAATTTTTCCGAAAGCTTCTTTGTTTAATATGAAATTTTAAATTCATTAGAAATATTTTCAAATCCATGAGAAAAATTACACAAAAATGCYTTAACCAAAAGTATCTCTAATTATCTTTTAAATATAAATTTTATCTAATGCAAGCTTAAAAGTAAGCAATGAAATAACTGTGRTATTCACCAGCCAAATTGAAATGCCTGCAGCCATTTACTAGGATAACAACCGAAAGCAATAAGTGTAAAATCCAAAWATTTTCTTATTTTCATTTAGCTTTCAGCTTTTTTTCCCCCCGGAACAAAATACAGTTTATTACTTTAAGAACAGTTCATTATTTAGGCATTTGTTGTTTTGAGTTGAGTGAAACTTGTGCTCATTAAGTTGCCAAGTTCCTTTCACAACAAAGTTCAAAGCAATACACAATTGGCATGCGTCTGCTGGTGGTCTTTGAAAACAGGGCAAACACACACTCATACACTTAAACGAAATTACATATGTGTTAGTGTAAGTGTTTAAGTGCACAAATACATGCAATTCGCAGAGTGTCCTTATCCGCGGCACCTCATTTTCCGCATTTATGCTTTAATTAAATTTAATTACACGCGACATTTCGCATTTCGCAATTCGTAAAAATAATCACGAAGTTCATAATTTACATGTAGGCCTGACATTCGTATATGTATATGATGTACGCGGGAAACTGATGATGATGTAAACTATATAATGTGTATGTAATTTTTATGTCATGTATCGCTCTGTATTGTACGTGCTTACGGGACCTCATTAATCATAATATGAGGATATAAGCTTAATTACAACATCAAAAATTTTCTTTTAATTTCAGATTTATTCAGATTAATGCACTTCATTAAAAAAGAGAAATTGRAGGGTTGACAAAACCCGTTTAATGACTTTTTTAAGATCATAAACTCCCTATACCGAATACTAAATGCACTAAAAGCTTTTAAATAAACTCTAAGGATAGTTTTTGTTCCAACCTGCAAGCTGTTCAACTACTCTCAGAGATAATCTACTAAAGTACTTTAACCTAAAAAATGCAACTGAAGAAGAATGGAAGTTAGGAAGAACCCACTTTATTCATATTGTACTGTGAGTCCAGAAATGTTAGTTTAATCGTTAGATTTCGTGGTCGGGTGCTTCGCAGAAGCAGTTCTTGCATGACCAAAGCGATCTGAGAACAAAAATATATATAATTAAAATTCTGCCCAACTTTCAGAACTTGGAATACATTATCAATTGTTTAAGGTTTTTGGCAGTGAGGGGACCTTTTTAATGAATGAAAATTTTTCCTAAAATAATCTTTCTTATTTTGGAAACACTATACATTCATTTTACACACAACGCGCGTGGACATTGCCWGCTGGAGTTTAGAGAGGGAGTTTCCTATAAGGAGCACTCCGTCAAACTTACTTTAAGGCTACCGGACCACTATAGTGTTTTGCAGGCAGAAGTGGTTTGTTTTTAAGGTAGCAGTGGTCATACTGCCACGATGTGCAGCATCTCTCCAGAAGGTGTGCATTCATTCTGAGAGCAGAGCGAAAATACTACCGCTAAGCTCGCAAACTGTATGCTCAAAGTTAGTTAGAAGAGTCTGTCCTCACCTCGCTTACATGTCATGCACTTTGGTCAATGGCTCGCTCCTGCGTGACAGTACTGAACCACTTACGCTTAGCAAAGTTCATATTTCCCTAATCATAGAAGTTCTGCATGTACATTTTCCAATAAGCCTCCATGTTGTAAGGCTAAAAGTCGAATACCTGAGAAAGGTGAGAAAGAAGCATTCAGGCACTTTCTCCACCATTGCCCAGCCTTTGCAAGATTAAGAATARAATGTCACGGCAGTCTTACTTTCGGCGAATCAGGAGATATAGCCAGGACTGACTTTAGTCTCAACAAACARACAGGTATTCTAAGCTATTCGAGATGACCCCTCTTATGATCTACCTCTTAATCTTACCTAGCAAAAATCCAAAAAGTTTATTATCAATTTTCGTTTTATTTCTACATTTATTGTGTTACGAGTATTAAGTCAATTGTATCCTTAACTAACTTTCCCACGTAGATTGTTTCCCCAGCATTATACATRATCAGCATGACGAGCTGAGTTCATTTAGTCATATCAGCCACGTCTTTCTGTATAAACTCGAACTAATACCACAGTTTTTGAGAYATCGATCTGAAATTAGACAAACATTATTTTATTCATATAAAGCTGCTCAGTCGATTTAACGTACTAAGCAGGTTGAAAACTTTTCACAACGAGCTTGGTGATAAAGAAATACAATTTTTGTTTAACAAATGTCTCCCGAAAYATTCTTCAACTTCATATAATGAAGTTTTGTAGATTTTTCCATTAAAACATCTGGATTAAGGAATATATCAAGAGCTGCATCAATATTTTCTTAGCTTTAACATTTCTAAGTATCTAAGCGCCAAAAGAAAGATATAATTAARACCTTGCCCACCTGCCTTCCGACGCCTGAGAGCTTACGCACAAAATCAGAAAACAAACAGGAAGCAAAACAAAACTTCGTCTGTAAAAACAAAAGCAGACAAAAACATTAAATGCGTGAGGAAGGCAAGATTTACTACTTGAAATATTATAGAAACGCGTGTAGGTAAATATGAGCACACACACACACACATGCAACTTAATTGACTACATATATATGTCAGCACATGTACACATGTTTGTGTGCGTTAAGCGTACACATGTATGAATATACGTTTAGGCTTCCACTTTACGAGTATTTTAAAAATTCTACAAACGTAAACCTGCAGGCAAAGGCCAAGCAACAACAACCGGGGCAGCCTCACTCACTTCACCTTTTGGCCCACTTTCACACAAATATATACACGTGTGTGTGTGTATTCACTGCAAATTGTACGCATACAGGCTTTGTTCGGTTTTAACMGCTTTGAAAGAAAACACAGATATACATATATGTGTGTGTACTATATTCKTATTCATAAGTGTGTGTGTGTGTTTGCATGTGCGCTGCCTCATCGCCACTTGAAGCTGTTTACAAGACTGGTTTTAGGCGCCTTTAAGCTGTACAAGCCTTGCCTTCTTTTTGTTGACTTTAAAGACCAAAAAATATATATAAAATGTGAATTTTATTTCATTTCTTTGAAAATTCTTCCAACTCACCTCACGTATCAAAAGTTTCGTGGCAGCAAATGTCGAGCGAGCAAACTTAAAGTATTATATTTGTATTAAGTTTATGTTTGTATATAAATATGTAAATGTGTATGTGAARGGCACAAACACTCTGTGTATTTTATGATAATCATATATATACATGTACATATTAATATATGTTTACATGAGTCTATGTATGTGAGAACTTTAGTGGCCAAGCTTCAGGCATCGCTGGTTGGTGAAAATTCGAAGAAATTGTGTTTACTTGCGAAAAAACTTTTCTTCGCGCTTCTTTATTTTCCYTTAGTAGAATTAATAAAGTATATTGTCAGCAACAACAAAATATGTTTTAATTTTCACACATAAATAAAATTTAATTTTTCAGTTTAACGCTTGCACACTTCTTCGTTAATGCTCACTAGCGCTCTATGCACCTAGGCACGAAGTTTTTATACAAATATTTAGAAATACAAGGTGCTTTTCAACGCAAACAGAACTTAAAAAAAAACAGAACAAAAGGTTTCTTCGGCAAAATCAATTTATTTTATTCAAAATAGTTTCCTTCTGCTTCAATACAGCTTTGTACGGCCCAAAAGCATGTCGAACGTGTAATTTAGCTCATTGGGCGGTATAGCGTTTTGAATGGCTTCTACGTCTGCATAACGCTTTCCTTTCATGGGCAATTGYGTTTGTCCGAAAAGCAAAAAGTCGCACGGTGCCATATCAGGTGAATAGGGGGACTGGTTAATGGTTAAAATGTGATTCCTGGTCAATTAATCGTCGTTCGAATGTTGGACTATGAGCAATTTTTGGTCGTGAGTCAATTTGTGTGGAACAAACCGCGGACACACCTTTCGTAAGCCCAAATGTTCGGTCAAAATGCGATAAATCGATGTTTTGGAGATGTTCAATTCCACTTCCATGAATTTCAATTATGATTCCTGCTGATTTTTATGAATTCACGCACAGTTTCGATAGAATTTCCGGTGATAAACGATTTTGATTGGCCCACATGTTGGCTCTTTGTTTGAAGCTSATTTTCGCACTGATAACACAAACATACTGACACATAAAACGCAATAACTTCACTTCCAACCAATGAAATTTCACGAAATTATTATTAGCCAACTCTAACGCCCCAGTCGACATATATCGATTATCTTTGCCGTCATCTTCAAACTGCTTCTGATAGTTTTAAAAATCAAATATATTTTTCTTTTATTGATATTGCGCCAGCAAAATTCATTTCTTCAATAATTCATATGTATTCTGCCAATTTGACTGCTCTGGGTCGGATATAAAATCGAGACGTTCTGGTTTCGTASATCAAGCCGTCATCCTTTGTGAAGTTATAGAAAAGCAAAAATTCTTAGTAGCCAATACAAATTTGCACAGGTGTTTAGTTTTCATTCCCACCAGTTCGGTAGGACGTCTGAGGCATGCGCTCTCAACTATTTAAGTCTTCACCTAGCACATGCAGAACGGTCAAGAAAGAAGTGTTGAGTGGTTTTCACCTCATTTTCCTTGCAGCTTCTGCAGATGGCGTCTTGTAAGATTCCCAGCAGCATTGATGTCCATAAGGCGTCTAGGGATCTCTTTCGTTCGATCTTAACACAATCTGTCTTATCACAAAGAGACTCGATGYTCTTGATAGGGAGATTAGGCACTTATTGACCAACCTTGAATGCACTGTTGATGAGTACTTATCAAAGCTACAAGGATAAAGATAAAAGGGAATATAGTTAAAAATATGTAGTTAATGTTTGTTCGTTTTTGATTTTAAAGTACAGTTACGGGAAAATTTGCTTTAAAGTTTAACGTTCTAAAGCTATTTCTTCTCAAGGATTGTTTTTACTATTTTGTCGATTGAGCAATGTTTTAGCACCCTAAAGTAATTGTAATGCTGAGCGCACCTGCGTCACACTTTCTTCGAATTCTAAACTTTTATAAGTGTACGAAAAACTAGTTTAGAATATAAAAAGTACTTAAGAACTTAAACTATTATGTATGCTACTTCAGTTGGCATCTCCTCATTTCAATTGTCACTTTTTCGTTTACCTTGTTACTGCTTTAACCGACAACTTACTTAGTCCGTGCAGGATAATGTCGCTACAAATATGAACATGACGCTAGAAGCACATGCTGCATTTGTATTCGATACTCAGGCACATATGTAGTATTCCCTACATGCACGCAAATACTTCAAAGTACATTTGCATTACAAAAGTCCCTGCACAATCACACCCTTGTACTCGTATACACGCTCGTATTTACATATTCGATTCGCCAGCATTGCTTTCCATCTTAACTTCAACTTTGCRTGCTTTTAACAACTCGTTTCAACTGAATTTTTCCTTTAGTTGCCTCTCAACTCTTTGCCACCGCTATTCGCAAATTTAACTGCAGCAAAAATTTTTTACACAATAATCATATATAGTATGCTCATACATACTGCATACACATTAGGGTGGGTCAAAGAACACTTTTCAATTTTATACTTTAAATACGTCAAAAAATCGTCCGGAATGACGAAAAAAAATGAATTTTGGTTGCACTGGGGCTATGAATGATCGAACGACATGAACTGATTATAAGGAAAACCTTTTATTTAACGGAGGATCCTYACCAAATTTGATTTTGAGATGTTGRCCAAAATGAAGCARGAATTTCACAAAAACTTATTCAGATCGAAATACTATAGCCCATAATTGYCATATAAACTTTTTCTTCTTTATTGGCGTAGACACTCCAGTCGTTCTTCCTTTTCGCTGTTTGACATCAATTGGWGACTCCAAGTGTAGACTGGTCCTTCTCCATGTGGTTTTTCGAATGAAGTGGAGATCTTCCTTTTCCTCTGCTTCCCCCGGCGGGTACCTCGTCGAATACTTTCAGAGACAACATRACCTAGTTAGCCTAGTTATCTCTTAACTTGCTGAACTATAAGTATGTCAATCTCGTCAAATATCTCGCATAGCTCATCGTTCCATCGACTGCGGTATTCGCCGTTGGCAATACACAAAGGACCATAAATCCTTCGCAGAATCCTTCTCTCGAAAACATTTAGCGCCGACTCATCAGATGTTGTCATCGTCCATCCCCCTGCATCRTATACTGGACAAGGATGATAAGTGACTTATAGTGGTTGATCTTTGTTCGTCGAGAGAGGGCTTTACTTCTCAATTGCCTACTCAGTCCTGTACGAAAGAGATATTCTGCGTTATATTTCCAGAGTGACGTTGTTGGTGATGTTAGTGCTAGTTCCAAGATAGACGACATTATCTACGACTTCGATGTTATGACTGTCAACAGWGACATGGGAGCCATGTCGCGAGTACAAAGGCGGCCTTAAAATCAACTAAAATTTGTGTGTCGATGTTCCTTTTAGGAGTCGTTTCCAAGATTTCGCGCATGGTAAAAATCTGGTCGATTCTAGGTCTAATTAAGTCCAATCAGTTTGTTGACGATGGGATTCAGTCTTTCAGACAGTACGCTCAATATCTTGTCTGACGATATTTCCAAGATACCAACTAAAAAACGTTAAAAGTTTTTTTTGTTTSTGCTCGCCCTAACACATACATACACTACACACGCACGCACATGCGCATAAATGCATTTTACGCTGTGATATTATGTTTGGTGCTCATTGTTGTTGCTGCTGCTCACATTTCAGTTGCCAAGGAGACACCCGATTCGGACAATGATGCAACATGTGCTGAATTAAAGGCTGACGAAGGCTACAAGTCCTCGGTAAATAATGGCACAATAAGTCGCAGCTGTAGTCGCCCGATGTCGATTTGTTCGGAACCGGAAAAGAGATGGGTGGATGTGGTGGCAGGTATGTATACACAAACATTTATGCACATCCACATACATACGCTTATATATACATATATATATATATATATATA